CCACTTCGACGAAGTATCCTTTCCTTGTAAGAATAATCGTTTTTATTTTTGCACTTACCAAGGTGACCGCACTCATTGCAAATTGCACAAACCAAGCTCTGTTCTTTTCTTTTTTATAGTCGCCTTTGCTATCAAGGAAAAAAAACTAACGTATTTGCTCATATCTATCAATAATGATGTTTAAAAACTTTGATCCTATGTCAGAAATTGCTGAATTTCCATTCCTGCCTTTACAATTAGACGGAGTAAATAACCTTTCAGATTGTTGAGCAGAGAAGCGGCTTCTTTACCTTAAGCAAGTCAAATAAGTGTTGCTAGCACTCAGGAAGAAGTATACTGATGTAAATGTGTTTTCCAATCGTTGATCTTTCTAAGGCTCTCTAGTTTAGAGCACATAATGATATTTCTTTGTTGCAGAATAAGCTGATAGAGCGCTGTCTTTTTTCATTATCTTACAAATTTTCACTTCTCGTATTCTTCTTATCTCTGTCTAGAGACAACATGAACGCATCAGCTCGAGCAACACAGATCTGTGTATTCTAACGTAAATTGTTTTGCTTACTTGTTAAAAGAGGAAGGTTGGGTAAATTTTTATGGTACCATTCCCTGTGTTTTTATGAACGGCTGTAGTAAAAATTTAGAGTTCCTCCAATAAATAAAGGATGCCGAAGGTGAGGTGGCTTCAAGTGAAGACACTTTTGATCATTTCCCCGGCTTATGCTCGGTTTGGCAAAACCTTGGAAGTTACCATAATAATTGATATTCTTTGCACTTCGAATATTTTGTGCGAAGGCAAGACTCATGTGTTTCCAACATCAGTTACTAGGACTAGTTTTCCACAAATTGCTATTTTTATGCTGAACAGCTCAAGTCACGGAAGTCTCTACAAACGACGATTGAAACTCGACCCTTTGACACATGTTTATCATCACGGCTTGCCAAAGACTTCCACATGGCTTGTCGTCCTGTTACATTTTTTCGTTATCTCAACTTTCATCATTTCTCATGCATTCATATCTCCGTTGAAAGCTCGCACTTTTCCAGCCGTATCGGATTCCATCGTTCCTGATCGCTTTTCAACGTAACTCTGCGGAGTTATCCCCCATACATTCCGTGCAATCATTTGGTTTTTCGTTGCTTCACGAACGCGTTGCTTCAAGGGTTTATTAGTATTTACCAAAGAGAAAATGGTCAGAACTTCACCCAGCCCTTCTATATATGACTGTATATCACAGGACTCGTCTTAAAACGCTGATTTTAAATTTATGTTTTTTATCTGCCAAGGACTATGTGGGAGGAGCTATAAGCTTTCAAATATGAGAAGTTTATTGAGTTTTGACGAATCTTCCTTGAAAGGCAGCTTGATGGCACAGATCTACAGTGGATATGGTTATTTCAATCAAAGGAAAAGCACATTCACTAAAAACCTAAAAAAGTGTTTTTAAAACCTATTTCGTGGAACATGCGCCACGGAGCACTTGACACGCACATTCAAACGCTCATAACTCTTCCCAGATAGTCGCTTGAGAGATAATAAACATAATTTGTGATCAGCATTTGAAACCAGTCCGATGATATGCATGTTTGGTAAGCTGGGTTAAGTTCCCATTCCCTATCAGTTTTTTTCCCATTTCGCATTCAAGTTTCGACCATTTCCTGCCAAGCATATACTCCATTGAGGATTATTTGTTTTTGCAAGTGTTCCTCCTCTTCTTTTCTCACCCTGGCGTGAAGTAAATTGTATATTTTTTGATAAAAGTGTCTGACAAACCTTCACTCTCAATGTTGAAACATTGGTGAGACAAACCGTCGCTTGACTTTGCTTTTTGCGCAGCCAGTCCTCCAGAAGACTCTGCCAATCTCAGAACTACCATAAATACTTGGAATCTATTCAGTTCACTTTGTATAAGTTAAGCAGCTTGCTACGATGATTCGAAAATCGAACTAATTTTGGTCAAAATTCTTCACCATCCATTTTTTGTATCATTGCATGTAAAAATAGAAGTTTTGAACGAGACACAACTAGGGCTCAAGTGGCTTTTGGAATATGCAAAAGCGAAGTCTTTCTTGACTTTCGCGAATTTACGAAGTCCCCTTTGACCCTAAACCCTAACCTTTGAAAGAAATTCAAAAAATAAAACGTCGGCTAAAACAACTTTACAATTTTTGTGTCTTTTCGGCCTCAAAAACGATACCACCTTTGCGTTTTGTTCCAGAAACTATATCCAGCTTACAAGCCACCTGTGCCAAGCCCTGGACACAACTATGTGCACTTTGAGACTTATCTGACATCTATGCGAAATTAATGAATTTTGAGACCAAATGGTCCTCATCATTGTTCTATAAAGATTTGAATAGGGTGCTGCCGCGATGATATATTGCTCGCGGCTTGATATCATGGGATTTTTGTGCAGACGTGCAAATCGCTTCGAGAAAAAAAGCAAAAGTGGCAAGGAGAAGAGAATTGGACGATGAAAAGTTTTTTGAATAAGAAAGCGTATCCTGACATTTTTCTGAAAAATTATTTGAAAAGCCTTCGAAGTTCTTATGGGCCTCTAAAAATTTTCTCAAAGCTAATTTGTGAACTCTTAAAGTTTCAAAAATTACCCTGATCACTAACAAAAAGAACAATTTATTTGAGCGTAATTGCATATGCACATCTTAGCACTGGTCAATAAACAGACGACTCAATGAACTTTGAGGAACCAATATGAATTGGCAACATTTCCTCTCTGGGGTTATCCCAGTCACGCTGCGGCTGCTTTTGGCACTTAGACATTACATATTTCTTTCAGCTTTATTTATGTGTTAGTGACTCTTCCTTGTTTACCAGATTTTCTTGGCAAGAAATCCACTTAATCCACCTCCACCCGTCCACCGAAATCCTTGATCCCCTTTTCACTCTCTTTCTAGGGCCTTATCTTCTCAAGCGCTGGAAAAGAGTTTCAATCATTTTCTTTCTGTAGTAATTTTCTTCTCTTCATCACACTTTTTGCTCATTGCTCAAATAAATATATGTGTAAGATTCGAGTTACATTTTTCGAATGCAACAGAAAGCCCACTCGGCTGGGCATACTCTAATTCTTAAATCCTTGTTCCTCCTTTAAGTCCTTAAATCGTTTGTTTGGTAAGCGAATACGTAGATATACAAATATACAAAGTCGAAAGCTAGCTTATTACTGAAATACAATTTCCGCACTTTGACGTAAAATATCCTTAGAAACGTGCAATAATCTAAACAGAAAATTTCTAGTCTAACCATTTTTTTTCTTTTCATTACATGTATACTAACAGTATTGGGCGGGGATTTAGCATTAGAATCACAGGAATTTCTCAAAAGAACTTTTATTTCACAGCAGTCATGGCGATAATTGCTTGCACATGGTGGATAACTGTCCCGTGCATCTAAAAAGGTTTTCATACTCACCTTTTGGTATCAAACGGCAGATTCTTGACTGTACATTGCCCATCAACGTTGACGCTAAATGACTGTTGCAAACGTTCCACTCGATCCTTGCTAGATTTTAGCGGATTCGCAAACGCAATCAGAAGCAGAAGCTAAAAAATAATTTGTCTCTGGATTAACATTGACAGTGATTTTACATTGGAATTCACAAACGTTCGGAAAGAAGCTATCCGATTGTGTGAAACAAATTTGAGCTCACAAGTCCCTTAGCTATAACCCAGCCATTCCTCTAAAGATGCTCGTAAAGGAAGAAGTGTCTTTCGAGAAAACTGGTGATATTGTGTGAACATCTCTAAGGGTTACATGCATGTCTATATCTTTCCGCAACGACTAAATTCCGCCATATTATATCAGTTTCTTGCAGTTCTTTCGCCTAACAAATATACACTAATTTTACTCTGCAGAAATATGTAGACTTCTCGCAAATATTTGCGTACCTTCACAGAGAATTTACATATTCATAGTACGTCACTGATACACTTGAACTTTTGAGTAAACTTTCCGTACTGCTTTGTGGAAACTTTCGCAGAATGGTGGAAAGGTAAATATCAAGTACCGTCAGCAACGTCTTTTAAATTCATAGCACCGCGAGCAAGACTTTCTTCTTACGTTGCCACATTTTGTAGTCGCAGATTCTTTTTCATCAAGTGTTATTAAGAACTCTAAGACTTATCAAAGAAGTAACTTCTTCCTCAGTTAGCCTCATTTCTTACGGTGTCATAATGGCGGCAATCTCCACTATTTATAGAGTCCCGGAATGTGTGTACAAAGATTGATCATTGATATTTAAACCTTGATGTCTCTCATAATCTTGAACGTGTTTTGAGAGGCTGGCAATATGGAATCATTCTAGAAGGAAAGGACAGTATACTTTATACATAGTTTAGTAAAAATTTTTTAAGCGCCTCCCATGGGAGTCGAGTCTAGATAAGATATTGAAAATTATTTGCGGTGGAAGTTATCTTTTTGTAAATTGTTTGCTTATATCGAGTTCACGAAGAATTCAAAAAATATCCTTACAACTGTTTTCTTTTATACTGACAAAAATTTGCTTATATCATCTAAACAGCTTCACATTTGAACTTTTTTGATGATTATCACGCGTGAGGTCTCTGTCACAAAGATCGAGAAGGATTTTATAAATGTTGACTTATTTACAAGACTTAAAGCTTTGAAGATTTCCATCGTATCCTGCGGTAAACTCGCTGATTTTCGTCAGACCGTAAATCTAACAAGTGTAAGTTTAACCAGCCTTACCACAAGGTTCCTCTGCCACCGATTTTTGAAGGGAAGATACATTTATGTGCAAACAATTGTAAACCCAATAAGACACCATGTCTAGCACTGATCGCTAGTTTTGTTTTTGCAGATCTTTACTGAATGCAAATAACCTGAAGGACTTTCCATCATTATATGTTTATGCAATGCTCAGTCCCTTTGAACTCACAGAGGAATCGTTTTTTGCACTTCCAACCATTAAAAGCATTACTACAAATTGCTATTGCATATTGTGGAAAATGAAGTATCTTTTCAGAACAGTACTCGTTCTACGATTCCCCATACGGAGAACGTCGCCCGCTGTTTGCTGCTCCGAGCCAACCTGGCCTGGCTTACCAACACCACCTGCAGCCGCCATACTATCATAGTATGGTAACGACACAACAACCAGCGCCAGGTAGAAATAAATTGAGCCTGATAACTACCGATAAATGTGTGAATCTAGGTCCAAGTATAGCTAATGGACCCATATTTCCTCCGGGAGTAGAACCGCATCGAAATCCGTTTGCCGTGCAGAGGTACCGTATAATTACTTCGCTTAGGTGATTGAGGAAAAAATTGAAGAAATTTCAGGCCACCTCCACCAGCTGAAGATGACTCCGAAGCGGAAGGTATAAACTGTTCGCCATGCTGTGATGATGAAAACGTGAGGTATGTGAACCCGCAGTTAGTCTTCGCTCCAGATTTGAGGTGGTAGCTCTTATATGGCTTTGAGCTCAAATTTCATCTTTAAATCTCAGGCCTGAGCATCATGAGTGCCTAAAAAACTTCTGCTTATTGCAAGCTCTCAGACAGTTATAATTATAACTTCTAATGCCCTTCCAGTTTTTTCCTCAAAAACAAACATTTCATCAGAAATAGAAGAAAGTTGTATTTGCAATAACTGACGTCATCCCCTCCCAGAAATTTGGGGTTTTAGAGAGCTTTACAATACAACTTCCGGAAACCGTGCAGTACCAATTCCCTTCATCTGAAAAAAGCTGTTGTTTCCTTTCTCAGAAATTTTGCAACCATCTCAAAGTACAAAATAATTGTCATGCTTCCATATTCAAGTCTTTTATAATGGGCCTGCTATAATTTTTAGGCTTGGATTGACCTGATCTGACCCTTAATACATATTTATACATATTCAACACATACATGGTTGATAGTTCTAGGATGTCTTTATGATTTGAGTAAACGTATGGTATTTGAATTAGTCATGAACTTCCGCCAAGCCGCTGAAAGGAGATAAAAAAAGAGATTTTTTAAGAAAAACTTTCCTTCCATAAAGCTAACGACAATCCACTTTTGATGGATTTCGCTAGGTTCTTCCAGTAAAATACTTTTAATCATCAGGAGATATGCCTACACTATTTTTTGCTTTCACGATCGTCCGCACCTTTTTATCAATCTGACAATCAGCAACAAAGAAAAGTGATAAGGCATCACTAATCGACAAATCAATTAGCTGTTCGAAAGCTTGATACATCGTCACTCCTAGCAAAATTGGACTCTTTATTCGAATATCTTTATTGGAGACGAAGTGAAGATGCAGTCAGAAAGGAGTTTGCGGCTTTGCCATCTCATTTCCACCACAGGTGTTGATTCGTTGATTTGCTAGCCTAATAGATAAGTAATCACCAAATGACAGTCTGAGCATCGATTCGATCACTTTGGCGATGGATTCGAAGACTGCTTCGAACAAATCGAACAAATGGTGCAGAGCTTTGCTGCAAATCCTTTCAACAGCGGTATTTTTTGATGAAAATTTCCATTTACAGCCGCACCTTTCGGTCAATCGCTCTCGGTCAAATACTCTCATTATGCCTATGTGGTACGGGTATCTCCAGTCAATTGCTTTCAAATCGAGGAGTGAATGCTCCTGCTGGTAAGTTTCCAGTTTGTATTGTGCTTTGCTTTGAGAGTTCTTGTTCTTGCTTTCATCGTTTTTACATGTAGTCTGGTCTTTCTCAAAAATATCATGATTTTCCCGAAAAAAAAAGATGAGTTTCGATTACGTCCACATGCAGATCACGCTCTGATGTCTCTCTGTTACGTCTCCTCACATTGTTATTCCGTTTGATACTTTGAATTTTATATACCAACAACTGAAACTAGGCTCAGAAGCATAAAATAAAGTCAATGGCGACTGTAAGTACATCATCGTTGTGAAAAATCACAATTTATCCCTCACTAATGATGGAAACTATAGGATTAATCACTTCACTTTAAAGATTACATCAAGACTTTTTGAGCAGATCAAAAAAGAGACGTGTCATGAGTTTAAAATTAAACGTTTATCACAAATAGTGGTTTGCTCATGCTTGCCCTCATTCGGATTAGTTCGTACGTACATTTTTCATTTCGGATAAGATACATATGTTTGTACTCCGCAAAAAATGCTTGCGTGAATTCGCGGACAACGTAATCTACAGGCATTGTCAAGCGCCGCAGAAATGAACTATTTTTCTTACTAAAACTTCTAATATATCATCCAAAAAAATTCCTCACAAGTTCTCACTATGATTCCACGTCATGTTCCACGTCATCTCGAAATCATCCTCGCTAGGACTGATTTGATCGGGTCAAAAAACCGATCTGAGGGATTCCTAGTTTCAGCCTTAGAGTTTACTAGCTTGCTTACCTGGCTCCGCTCGGCCCTGTCAAAACACTGTAATAAAGGTCCTATCCCTATCCCTGTACAGCCTTTCCATATGCCCACTTCTACACTTCATTTCCCGTTCCCTGTGTTGTTTTTTGAAATCAGCATGCCTACTACCCCCCTGTGCCAACTCCCAGCCCTGTAGCCAAACTCTGCAAAAAATCGATAAGATCGATATAATCGATAATTGTGGAAACTAATAATGTATTCGGAATCGCCATGCCCAGCCCTGTAGCCAAACTTTGCAAAAAATCGATAAGATCGATATAATCGATAATTGTGGAAACTAATAATGTATTCGGAATCACATACCCCCCCCCCTGTGCCAACTCCCAGCCCCATAGGTGCACTCTGCAAAAAAATCGATAAAATCGATAAAATCAATATCGATCGATGACGAAAAGTAGCCTATGACACTCCCCGCCCTGAAGTGTATGTGTGCCAAGTTTGTTCCAAATCAGTTCAGAAACAAAAATTTCTATTCCGCACACATGTACAGACATACAGACATACAGACAGACATTCAGCTTTATGTATAAGATTGTTTGCTCGATTTTGCATATTCCCCAGGTTTTCGTAGCGCAGTTATTCTGAACTTAGCTATTTTCGATAATTTTCTCAAAGTTTGCTCGCCCCAGAGACAGCTTTCTTGCAAACCTACCCTTACACCGGCGAAACCGAAAGTTCGGTCGTTTCTGCTACCGTACATGTTTGAGCGAATCATCAGCTGACTTTTTTTTGCTTTAGAATGACACTTTCCCATATATCCTTGCACCCTTTATTGTTAAATTTTCTGTGTGAAAACCTAACGGTACTACAATTCCAGCTCAATCTTTCACCAACTACTTCCTCCTGTGCTTTGTCTACTGCACGGCGTTGTCGTGCAAGACCGGTGAGCAGGGCCTGCTGGGCGTCCTGCGACGGCGAGGCCTGCAGTACTTCATTCTAGCTCTGATTGACGTCGAAGCCAACTATATGATAGTCTATGCATATCAGTTCACTAATATCACAAGTGTGCAGGTGAGTGCTTATCTTCCACTTGTAAAATCTCAGAACTCAGCGAGGTCTATCTAGCTTCTCGATTGTTCGACCATTCCAACGGTTTTACTACTTTCATGGTTGTTTCTTTCAGTACGGTATCTAATATCTCATATAATAGGTAATTTTTACACTTGGTTCAGTTGAGCTGGTTCTACCTTTCTATTTCTTCCAGGTGTTTGTATATGTTTAATAGGTATAGCTTGTTTGATTTGGGCCGATATCTTGGATGAGAAGGGAACTATTGGAGGTTTGTGCATCATGATGAGATCCTAAGTCCCCAGTTTTGCATACAATTTTACTATGTTCAAAACATTGGTTATTTCGGATAAAGACAATTTCATTTCAGGTAACCAACGAGTTGTTGGTGATTTACTCTGCCTTGGAGGCTCCCTTCTCTATGCGGTAGCCAATGTTTCCGAAGAGTTTCTTGTAAAACAGCATAGTCGTATGGAGTATCTTGGAATGGTTGGCTTATTCGGCTCACTCATCTCCGGAGTTCAGCTGTAAGTATTTGGCTATGACTGGGCTGAATTTCGCAAAACATGAAAATTTGGATAGATGTAGACTGTGGACAAAGCACATAGGTACCAACAGTTAGTTGGTAGATAGATCTCGCAAATTATGCTTTATGGTTTCAAATTGATTCTTTTCCTAAGGCCTAAGGCATACTTCACGCGATTCCAGTCGCTGCGCGATCTGGCACTGCAGCGACTCTTCGTAATTAGTCGTTAGCGCGCTTTGCATGGGCCAGACTTAAAGCTTTTGCTATAACTTACGGTAGCTACGTGCCTATGCACTTAGGACCCGCACACGATTGTTCTGTAAATAACTGGCAGACTGCCAAGTCGCGTGGATGTAGCGATTTGACGAAATCGCGCGAGGTATGCCTTAGGCCTAATGTATCTCAGCAATGTTCCCTTTTGTTGCGAGATGTAGACAAAAAATAACTTCCGAAAGCATAAGATTTTTTCGAGGATATAGGTTTTGAAATATATGCATTTGCCATAACACAGAATACTTGCGTTTGAAACAATACCAAAGTAACTAACGCAGCCAGTAGGGTCAAAATCAGGATCAAGCGTGGGATGTGGCAGCCGCACTTTTTTTTTGGGGGTTGTGCCACACCCTATTAACTGTGTCAAAAAATATTTTCAGCGAACATTATTTATGTGAATCGATAGGTAATAGCCTAAACCTCGTAGATTCCATAGGGGTGACTTGAGCGTGATTCGTCTTCTTTGCTGTGAGTATAGCCACCAATAACGAAAAATGGGAAAAACGAGATATATTAATTGGCTTTTGAATCCACAGTTTGCAGGTGTTTTGGGGCGGAATTTCTGAGATAGGCAAAGAAGGAGTAGTGCTTTGTATTAGTGTCAAAAGAGGTAGCTAGTTCACCTTTGAAAAAAAGTAATTATCTACGAGAATGACCATTTCAATCAGGTAGCCCGGTATTTGAAAACTTCAGAATTCTCTCAGACTTGGTCCACAGGGGCTGATTATGAATATACTCGTTATACTTGGCAGGGCCTAAGTTATGCCTATCTTAGGTATGCAGTAGTTTAGGGGAGGGGGTCTAATCGAGACAGTAACTTGAGGGGGGGCGGTCGTATTTAGTGATCGTGTGCCACATCTCCTGCTTGACCATGGTTAGAATTATCAATCATATAATTTCTAAGTGGTCTGGCTCGGCTGAAATAATCTCATTCTCAACTTAAGAAAGAGGAACAAACCTTAACCGTAGCTATTTTCGAGAAACTACCATAAAGCACCTCTGAAATCCGAAAATCACAACTTATAAGCTTCTTTCAGAGCTGTCTTAGAGCACAAGAATCTGGCTCAATTAGACTGGGGAGCCGCCACGATTAGTTGTTTTTTGTTATTTGCCGTTTCGATGTTCATCTTCTACTCCTTGGTTACGGTGGTGCTACAGAAAACATCAGCTTTGATGTTCAATCTTTCCACATTAACTGCCGACTTCTATTCACTTCTTTTTGGGCTCTTTCTCTTCAAGGATTCGGTAGAGTTGACGTTGTCCAGTTCATATTTCTTGATATTCTTATAGGGTCTGTTTAGTTCCACTACCTCTACTTTGTTTCATTTATTGTTGTTGTTAGCGGGTCGGTGATTTATTCTATTAGAGAAACTCAGGTATTATTGTTTATCTTTGACAAGTACGCCCATTTTCTTTCTGCTTTTGTTATTATTTTGTTACAGAGGAGAGATCCGAATGAGCCGCGTCGTGTGTGTCCATGTCTGTTCGTTTGCTGCTGCTGTTGCTGTGATTGCTTATTCGAAGAGGTCGAAAGCACTGAGGGATCGCTGGACGTAAGCAGTGCTATGCCTAATCGCACTGTTTGGTCATATAATGAATAAGACTATATGAATAAGCAGCAATAAGCAATGAAGCATATACCTGTAGGCAGCTGGCTCAAATATTGTTTAGTTTAGCTCTGAAAGACGAAACGCTCTTATGGGTCGTGGAATCGAAAAGTGGAGCTATACAATGCCACAACGCCGTAGGCTCCAAACAACACTTTGAGCCCGTGTTTATGTCTGAAAGGCAGCCGTTTGGCAGAATGACAACTTTAGGATATTCATCGTTCTCGGTTTCCCTGAATGAGCTAACAATAAGTCAAAGATTGTGCTCTGCAGCTTCAAAAGATATCAATAACCGCTTTTCCAGACGGAAAAGTGCTATTTGGGCGGACGGCGTGAGTCTGCCCTCTAGGGTGATTGGCTCGTGAGTGGAGACACCGTACCCATCTCGGCGGCGATTGAATTATTGGCTCCAGCAGCCACTTTTGCGACCCACCCAAACAGCACTTTTCACGTCTGGAAAAGCAGCTTACCGACATCTTTTGAAGTTGCAAAGCACAGTTTCAGACTCAGCTCATCTAGGGGATCCGAGAACGATGAATATCCCAAAGTTGTCATTCTGCCGAGCCTTTGCCTTTAAGGTGGCTGGTATTACCTGTAGGGTTCATCTAGATTGTCTTGTTATTGGTACAGGGGTACAGGGGTAAAGGAGGTTGACAGGCAGAGCAGTGGTGGAAAGAATCAACCCTTTGCCACTCCGAAATGGTCAACAAACGAGGGAAAATATTGTCCGAAAAGTCCAAATTGACCAAAAAGTTACCTTTGTAGGACATAACACACTTGTATCACAACTGCTTTGAAACTGCCCCACACAGATATTTATAAGACAGGAGAATTGCCGTTGATATTGCCACAAGTTAAAGAATTGAGTGAGCTATGCAGCCGAACCGCGGCCTTTGTTCTTTCTTTGCTTGGTGGTCAAACGCGAATTTAAAGCTGAAAGCTGACTATGATCACCGAAAATAGGATGAATCGTTATCTTTCTTACAAATGGTATACAATGGGCCGCTTCATTTTTCTAATTGTTGAGCACTGAAGCATATAATCGCCCATACAAAATTAGTGTTGCAAAATTCCATTTCAATTTGTCATACCTAAAAGTAATCTGCCCATCCATCACATCTACTGAAAAATCCGATAGCTCTACTCGCAAATGTTTCTGAATTGGCCAAGTAGAATCATTGCGTCTATGAACGCAAGCATACTAGAGAGAGATCTAATTGTGACAATCCCTGACAGAGAAGGAAAAGCAAATCAAAAAGGAAACGGTTTCACACGACTACCGCATGCAAGAATTCGTCATTCATACTGGTGGACCTCTCAATTTTTTAGAGCTTTTTCTTTGTGGAGACTATAGAGGAAGTCGGGCTTGCTCGAAGGTAGGAAACCTTCTAGTTGAGATCACTTCTCAAACGCTCAGTATTGAAGGTCATGCTTGTGCTAGACACCTTTTTAAGCAAGTGTTTCTGGATCACATTCGTTAGAGAAGGGCTCAGCACCGTTTGTTCAAGGAAAGGGTCTATGAGTTGTAGTGCTCAAACTTCATGCTGATCAGGTGTGGCCGTAATTTGGCTTCCTTGGTAACATTAAGCTTTGATAGAGTTCTAGAATTATACACTGAGACCATCGTCTACTTTCGTTGTTTTTCACCCATCCCCTCATCAGACGTGACGTGAAAACGGTATCTCTTGATAGGCGAGGGAAAAACTCTCTGCATCCTTGGATCATCAAATTTAGTTAAGCTACGAAATGACTGTATGGTATTAATAAGTATCAAGAATATACGCGATACGAATCTAAATATTGTGATGGTAAGAATAAGGATCTATGATACCACTTTAGTCGAAAGTATTGGATGAAAACTTTGTGAAATGACATAAACATGGCTTGTTTCCTTCCTTTTTAGAATGCACAAACAAAAAGAAAAAGAACTTTAGAATTATTATTTTTCCTAACTTCTTGTACCCTTTGATTCAACTGGCCTGACGTCTGAAAGGCAGCGCTTCGTGACCTCAACAAGGCTAGATAATGATCAGAGAGCATGCGCGCCAGCGACGCAGACTGTGCCGCGGGAGCGAGCGGCCTTAATTAGGTCGCAAAGCCCCGCCTCCAGCCGTCAAGCCTCTTGATTTAAAGTTCATATGCATCGTAAACTTCGTGAACTACATATCAGTATTCGTCAAACCATTTTATTGTTTTATCAGCAACAGGACAGGGGTGCCACAATTCAAATTTCAAATTGAATTTGAATGTGCTCGTAAGAAGCGTAGGGTGAAGAAATTCTCAAGCATTCTAAAGAATCATTTTGGTGCGTTGTAAGGTCAATAGTCTCTTAGCATACGGTAGGACGTTGGCAAGGAGCTTGTGTATGGCGACAGATTTATAATCATATTTGGGCGTCTCCTTCTCGTATATGCTTCACTACTACTAGCAAGTAGTACAGTAACGCTCACAGAATGTGCACAATTCTGCGGAAGTCCGTTACAAAACCGGGAATTTGCACATTCTATAGCGGTATTTGTAAACTTAGCTGGAGTACTTGTTTCGAATGACAAAATGCATGGCTAGTAAAATGAGAATATAACCGTTTTTTTACTAAAAAGTACTTCATTTCAGGTCTCACCTACTCCAAACGTTAACAGAAGTACTACTATAGCCATGCACGCGATAACAACGGATCCTAACTGTCCAGTGCACGGTATAAGAGCTACTGCTGGTTCTACTCTCAGTAACGGAACTCGAGATCTTCCGACTGGCCGATGATCCATTGTGAACAGATTTTACTAATAAGTACTCTATTCCACTTACTGCACAGAGTCTGGTCAAAACTTTAGTCGCCTTACAATGATCTCTCCTCAAATCCGGTCAATTTCACAATTCCATACGATAATATATTATGAATAATATTATATTGAGATGTTGCCATTGTTGTCACTTTTGTCACTACCACAGATACGAGCTCATTCTGTTGTTTACTGTCATTGACGAGTAATCGAATCTTACGCTGCTGCTCAGTTTTCACTTATATGCAAAGGTTGTTCGAAAAAAGTTCCATAAATGGTTTAACTGCGTATAGAGCTAATCATTTGTAATCCATCCACTATTCACAGAAGGGACCCATACTTTCTGAGGGTTTTTTTTTTTTTCGAAAAACAAAGAGTAATGGCCAATAACCTTCTTCACTCGAGTAACTCTAAGATTACCCCAGTGTCTTCGTAGAACTACCTATTTTTCCCGTTTTCTTTCACAGATTGATTTTTGTCAAAAGTCTGGTACAGGGTTCGACGAAATGACGGGCACCTGTTTCTGTAAAGAAAGAATAAAGACGAGCTTAAGGCAAATTTTGGATCTATTTCCATCAATCACTGTCATCGTAATGAGAAAATCAAATGAGAATTTGGCTGCTTGTCTCTCGAAAAAATTTTCAAAACTTTTCGTCAGGGTAATCTGTTCGCACAATTTTGCAAATGTAAACGATCTTTCAAAGAACCTTTTCTCTTGCTTTGAATTTGCACAACAAAGTAGAACACGCCTTTGCCTTCAACATTGTTGAGTATGGAAATTTGTTGGTTCAAAGAGGAATTAATTTTCAAAAAATGAATGCAAACCCGCATGTTGAAAACAATAGTATTTTAGCCCTCCTAAATGAGACCGACAATCAGAAATGATTTCTAAATCAGTTTCCAAACCACTAAGAATCGTTCATAGAAGATCTCTTTTACAGAAATGAAGAAAAGTTTTCAAGAGAGTCGCTTGTTTGGGGTCCCGCAGTTGATTATTCTATGAATGAGGTTGTCCCTCGTATGCAATTATTTTTCGTGAACACATTTTTATACTTGTGAAAGAACAACTTTTGCAAATGCAACAGCTTTGTGATAATACAAAGTGTACTCCACAACCACAGCTTGGAATTGTACAAAAAACGTTTGAGTTCATAAAGCTGCAGAGCAAAGTATGAAGGTGTAGACATTTCATTTTTGCTTTTTTCAAAATCCACTAGTTTCATTTATTCAAATCCTACATATTCGAACAGAACTCTTTCGAAAAAATAGCATTCACATTTTGATTAGTGTATTATATGACATGAATTGAGCTCATGTTTCTCATTGGTTTTCTCGTGGCAGTGGTGCAAAAATTAGCGCCATATATTCTGATGCATCTTATACATTAGGTTTCGAAACGATCTTCATCTTCGTCGAAGAGCACCCGTCCCTTACCGGTAAAGCAGAGCAAAGCTGCACACAAGCCTTTGCTATCAAGAATTCAAAACTGTTTATTAACTTCATCCAATTAATGCACCGGATATTTCACGATCTCCAAAAAACCTTCTAAAGCTACGTAGATGAACTGACAAAAAAACCGAAAGTTCTAGACTTCAGAAAAAAAAGAACAGTGGTGAAAACGCCATCCATCTTTAGTGAAAGCAGTATCTTGGCCAGTACTGGACTTCAACCATTCGTCGTACTGTAGGAATATGTTGCGATGTTGCTCGAAAAAATCCTTTATATCAAAGGATCTCAACTCGTCTCTAAAAGTAGTTCCTTTAGAAATGGAAGAAATAGAGAAAGATGCACCTGGTGAACCATGACGCGACATATTCGTGAGAATGATGGGAAGCATCTTGTTTATCAGCGTCTTCTTCAGTATGCATCAAGCAAGAGAAGAAAAATGTACCGATATATATGGAGTGCGGCAAAGCAGCTCTGTGCCTGAAAGTAGGCGACTGTCGTACCGATTAGAACCGAGAGGAGGGATATATAATTTAATATATACTTCACTGAGATAATGGCATCGGGTGTAGCACGGATTCCCGTCTGTTCCAAGACCTTTCTTTTTGCAGTATCAAATATTTTCTCGCAGTTTTGAGCTTTTCCACCGGGAAGTTTCCACGCTGAGTCGGTGCTGAATTTCTCAGTTTGCCAAGAACTTTTACAAAAATTTTATAAACCGGGCAAGAACAACTCACTGTTTTTGTTCCTTGATCACCAAAATACGGCCCAGCTTGTCCACGACCAAGCACTGAACGCAGTGATGGTAGGAGCCACGTCTGGAATGTGGATGAGATTTTTATTAGAGAGCCTATACATCAGGTTGACTAATCAATGGATTCGTGCCATGTGCGGAATTTCACGCATATTGCGTACCTATAGATCAGCTAAGATCTTTTACGGCAAAGCAGTTACAAATCCTTGTTTTAACATCTATGATTTAATAATAACGGGCTAAGGGTTGTCGGGAGTTCATCTTCTGCACGTCCTTCGATTGGTCGGTCATTTTGACCGCTCTTCCCCACCCTACCGGACGTCGAACCCCTTGATCCAGGAAGCCCCGGAAGAACAGGATCAAGTATTTTCCTCCCCAACAACGACTGTACCCTCGACGTCAATCCCTAAGTTACATTTGCAAAGTGGAGTGTTGTGGTGCGGCCGCCTCGCTTTGGGCTCGCGCCACCTTGGAGCGCATGAGTTGGCATGGCGTGGCAACAGGAGCAACGAAGAAACGTTGTTCTTGTTGCCACGTTTGAACATGTTGTGCCGCCACGTTGTTTTTTGCGCCACATCACGTCTGAACGATGCCCCAGCAATGTGGCGCGAGCGCAAAGCGAGGCGGCTGCACCACACCACTCCACTTTGCAAATGTAACTAAGGGATTGACGTCGAGGGTACACATCGGAACATTCAACGTGAGAGACTACAAGAACTGCAAGAAGCCCTGAAGAGAACACGACTCGAATTGGCCCTAACGAGATGGAGAGACAAATTTATAGAAGAGGCTTGGCACTTGCAATTGGCAAAGAGTAAGATCACTAACTTAGAATGGATCAATTTGTTTGGGTGCTGCCGCATGTTGTAATAATATGAAAGGCAAATAAATCATAAATTATAAGGGTTGTCTACGTCTGTTTATCTGTGTGTCTATGTGTACGTCTGTCTGTCACGAAATTCGTAGAGCGAGTTCCAGCAAAGGTCTTGGGCTAATTTTGGTCATAGCACCTTATCAGCATGTAGACAAACTGTGCAAAAGTCCGAATCGATATGATAACTGGAAACTTCAAAAAAATGCGCGTTAAACGAGTCTACACGACTTTTGGCCCGCCAAAACGGGTCGGCAATTGAACTTTTCGGGAAGTCCTGGACTTCTTCAACAAGTAAATCTGGGGAAGATTGACTTTAACCCAAAAAGTAAGCAGGAAGTCTACTTTCACACAAAATTGGGTGTAATTGCGCATACTGTCAATTGTCAAACTTTTACTTTTGAAAGTGAAGATTTTTTTGAATAGATATGTAGCCGAAGGTGGTCGTTATCCTTACGGCAACTATAAAGCCGAAGTAAATTCAGTAACCCATTCAAAATAGCATTTTTTCTTCTGGGAAACCGTATGTATGCAAGCATATGTACACTTAATATCTAATGTACTACTTTGTTTTTGTTGCATAATTTTTCAAAAATAGGTGAAATGCATGAAGTCATCCAATATAGAAAGTTACTAAGTAGCAAACAGCCAGTGCATTTTATGGGAATCGGGATCCTATATATCGGAAGAACCGTCCTTGGGACTTGCAATAGCTAATCCATAATTTTTTCCAAACCGCTATAAAATACTCAGTCTTCAAAGCCAAGATTCATTGGTGGTTAAGCATCTTCATCATGAGCGCATCACGGAGTTTGGATAAATTTTGGAAAGTTTCTGAAGTGGTTGGTTCATTTCAGTTGATATGTAGGAAGGTACATAGTAGGATGATTCTGCAGCGATAAAAAGTAGTGATTCTTTCTGAAGAAGAGCTAGCCTTGCAATATGCACCTCGTCATAGCATGAAAGACAATCACTTAGGAAGGTTTCAGGTTGTGACAGAATCAATGCAGGTTTCCCAAAAGTAGACTTTGGATCACCATAAGATTGTCAGGTGACTCTATCGTTTGCAGTGAATTAGCAATCAGATAACCTTCGATTCAGAGTGCATTTGTTCGTTATGACTTCACTTAGAGAATCCAGCGCAGAAATTGTCAAAAGTTTTCTTAGAGAACCTTCACTTTGAGAAACCATAACTCAAAGCATAAGTCCGTAGTGAAATCCCATTCATCTCAGTTAACCTGATTAAGAAGAACTTCCTAGGATGAACCTAAGACCGCTTATTTTCCCTTGCTTTAGAATAGTTAGCTGAAAAGTGAGAAGACCACTCGCGAAGTACCACCCTCAGTTCAGCAGAAGCCACTTAGCAGGTTGACGTATTGTTGCGGTGCAAAACTCATAAATCTGCTTAATTGCGGGGCCCAAGAAGGCAAAATCGATGAACAGCTGATTGCAGCGAGGAAATAGGTAAAAGGTTTACCTTTTTTGCTGAGTTCGCTTAGGTTTTTTCTGAAAGCTGCATAGAACAAGAACTTATTCAATTTGTTCATTTCGTTCGTGTTCCAAGTTTCTCAGATTTTTAAGATTTCTTCCTCAAAATATCGTAGTTTTGTTTCATCCATTTATTTACTAGGCGAAATCCTTGATAGCGGTCATCATCGATTTTTTTGGTGGTCGCTACCGAAGATCGCCCGGCGATGACACAAAAATCTAGCCGGCCTCCCACCATGGCCTTTCCTTGAAATTCCATTCGTTTAGGCCAAAGGCATACCTCATGCGATTTCAATCGCCACGCGAACTGACAATTTGGCGATGTCTTCAAATTCAATATTGGCAGACCCCAAAGGCATAGTACGTACAACTTTTATAGGTTGATAAAATGCCCTATCTCTGGTACAGTCAGAAACACCTATGATGAGTTATGACCACCTGAAGTATTGCCAAATTGCGTCACGACTGAAATCGCGTGAGGTCTGTTTGCGACCTTAGCAGTTCGACTAAACCTGCGAATACGTTTCGTTTTTGAGAGCGCCCAAGACTTCCACGTCCGGAAAGCTATTTGCATTCAGATCAGTAGCTCGCTGGATGCCGGGCTGAGGCGTCTTAGGTCCAAGTAGGGCCGCTCCCGGCCAGGTTGCGCTGAACAGGGTTTACTAAGTGCCATAGTAGACAGCGCGGACTTCACTGTAGACGATAGTCGATTGTGCAGCAGGACTAAGCTAACATTTCACTAGAATATTTTGTGAGCAGATATTCCAGAAAGTTTGGAAGTATTCAGTTCGTCTTGACAATGATGTTCTCGCCTCTGATAAGGGAAAATCACTTCCGGTTATCACTTCCGGTTTGTTGATAAATATCTTAAGTGTAATCTTCCTGCTTGTGCTCACGATTTTTTGAAGAGCGCGGAAGGGCCGTTTAACTTTCGCTTTGAATTTCTCAGCCCAAAATCTCGAAGACATGATTGAATCTGCATTTTGCACCACAACTCCATAACGAATACTATATGGGTTCGAGGCAAAATTCATTTTTTGTAGTGGATTTGGAGCAAAGAATGTGAGAAGGATATTTCAAGATTTGTTCTTTGATTTAAAGGTACTGCATTTATAGACTCTTCCTCTCAGAAGGAAGCAGGCCTGAAAAGCCAATACGAGAGAGGTCTCAAATCATATGTAGAAAATTCTGAGAAAGTAGTAATTTTCTGCTACTTAGCACATTTTAGAAAAGGAGTGAGAACCAGCTCAATTCTGTTACAACCAATTCATTATATATAGCAAACAGCCGGTACACTTTATGAGAACCCTGCCGGAAGATCGATCGTGGGATTTGCAAGCAATGGTTGTTGTTACCATTGCTGTATATGACTACAGATATTGATTATATGATTGCTTGAAAAACACAATGAAAGAGACTGGTTCATCATGTTGAAGGCAGTGTCCGGGCAGAAAATCGATTTCTAAAAAATCAACTTATCTGAGGTTATCCGCAACGCTGAATCCGAAAATCCACATGAGAAGGCGCGAAAACGGCGAGAACATGCATTTTCCAAGCCCTTACATTTTAAAATTTGAGGATCCCCGCCAGGCTAAGACGCAGAGGTTGCAAAGAGCGCACGGTTTTTAACTGTGGCGGCATACGTACTCTGCCGTCTGGCACGAATTCAACAGCTCGGAGGACCCCGCCCCAAGGCGTAAGTTTCCCCACATTGCAATTGTTTTTCTTGTTTTAGGTCGAACGTTTTATGCTCGCAGTTGCGCGGCGTTGTGTCTCAGGGGGGCCACTTTCACATGGCAGAGAAATCTCAAAACCCCCATCTTGCCCGGACACTGCCTTTAAGTATATGGAGTTTAGAGTATATAGATATGTTGATAAATAAAGGATTGTATCTAGAATTCAACAAAAGAGCCAAGAAATGTCAAGAAGGTTTGTACTCACGGCACAAGAGGAGATGCGGTATCTGGCACCCATCTTGACATTGTCAGTCCATCATCGGTTACAAAAGAGAACTTGAATCCTCGTCTAGCTAGTAGTGGCACGAGAAATGCATCCTAAAAATTCTATTTCAACCTTGTATTGGCATAAGTCCATATTTCTGTAACTTTTTATAACTTGACAGTATAACTTAACGAAAAAAAACCATATGATATGACAACAGGGATTGCCAAGGATTGGAGCGTTCTATTGAATCTGAGCTGAAGTTTCCCAGTCATATCGATTATGCCGTAAAGAAAGCTTATTCTATCTTATTCGCTACACTTCGTTCTGTTCAGAGAGTCAGCCCAGTGATTCTGAAACGATTATATAAAGCGTATGTGCTACCACACTTCGATTACAGTCTTGTAATTTGGAATCCTTTTTCGAAAATATCCCAAAACTAGAGAAAGTGCAGCAGACATTTACCTGTATCCTCTTTTTGAGATGTCGCAGAACATTAGCTTTTACTGAAATGCTAGTGTATGAAGTTCGACTCAGGTTTTTGGCAGTGAGAAGCTTAGAATACAAAGAATTTGTCTTGATTTCAGTTTTGCTTTCCCTCTAGAGAATTTAACTAATTTAAGAACGTAGAGAATTTCGACTAAATGTAAAAGAATACTGGATTTTAGACCAACTTGCAGAATGGGTGGGTTCAATATTGACTTCCTCGAATTAGAGAGAAGCGTTCCCTTTTGATGTTTAGCAGTTTTTATAGATTAACTAGGTGGTTCAACAAGTTGCCTCCCTCGTTTTATCAGCACAGAGTGTAACGGTGTTCAAGAGCAAAATAAATGAAATAGACTTGCTTTAGGTTAAAGCAGAAAGCTTTCCATTTTTTGTCCCTTTCCTTTTTTTCGTTCCAGATTGCCGGTATTCTTCTACCCCGCTAGTTACACTGGCCGTCTATCATTGTTGACTGACATACTTGCTAAATGTTTTCAAGCCATATTACTGACTTTTGGTGTTTCACTGATCTGTCATCTTCCACACCTTCCATGTGTGTTGTTATCCGATATTTCGAATGCATTGATTTTGACGCTACTTCTGCTTGGATTGGAGTGCAGATGTATCTGGGACTAGATTATTACGTTGGTGGATACCCAACGTGCACCAGGCTGGTCTTGGACGTCCTCGAAGCTTATGTAATCTTAGGGCGGTGGCGTCCCGCAACGCTAATCACCTGCACAATTCGCGAGCCGGTAAATTTGGCCTCGAGCTCCCCCCCCCCCCGTTTTTTTAAGCGCTCTTTATTTGCGGTTTTGACTGTTGCGATCTGCAACAAGGCAAGTATAGGGAGTGGAAGTGTGACAGTTATGTTTATACGACTGAGTTTTGTTAACCTGTTTTTTTGCACTTATAGTGCATATTTAAATAAATAATAAATAATAAAATGAACAAGGCCATCCTTACAATAGAAATTCGCTTCCAAGGCAACAATAAAAGAAAAGAACCAAAATTTAAAGTCTTGATCATGCATTAGTATCAAAGTCTAAGCAAATCTCTTTATGTCCAGTACGAATGGCAAAAAATGTATTACATGCTTGAACCTCTGTTATGATGGTTCTGCCTCCCTCTTGACAGACTCTGCCCACTCCAATGCGTCCTACAATTGATCCCTTCGTGCAGAAGTTGTATGCTAGACGCAGTGACCGAAACCCTGACTAATTTCAGACTAGGCCCGCCTTTAATCGGGTGAGCACTATATCCTCTGTGACAAGCTCTCCACTTGGCCAACTTAACCTAAATTTGCTTGGATTTCAAAAATTTGTGCAATATTGGCGCAATGTGATCAGGTTGTTAGTGCATACATGCATACCATACAATGACGCAATTATGTGCAGAATCCAGCACGAGAGTGGCAATTGGATTCCTGGTATGCTCCGCTTAGCTGTCAAAGTTTTTGTCTGGCCGCAATAGAGCGCTAAAGCTGATCTTAACAATGAGCGAAGCCTATGTACTTCATTGAATCTTGTGCAGCTTCTTCGAGAACCACGAAGAAGTGACTTTAATAACGTGCCTCCCTCAGCCGTGCCACAGGATAATAACTATCTGAATCATAAAAGATATTTGTCAGTGATGTAGTGGTAAGAGGCACCGCAATGGTCGGTGCCATCAAGATTCAATCCCAGCGTCTGAGCCAACCAAACCCTTTGGCCCGTACGCATGGTACCAACACTCAAAGCGTAATCTGAAAGTTGAAGCTCTTGATAGTAAACGGCTAACCCGTCCCTCCCTTCCCCCTCCCCCCTTCCTGTCCCATTTCCGTAAGCGTTGCCTCTCTGCGATTACCAGCTCAACAAAAAGAGTGGCATTGGTCGAAGTAGAGTTTCCATACAAAATGTATACTATCTTATGGAGCACAGAACGATGTTTCCAGGATCTGCTTTCAATATCCGCAAAGCGATTCTGGGAGGAGATTTAAGCAAAACCCTGAACGGATGATCACATTGATCATCCAGAACCGTAGTGTGAGCTCAAGGGGTCATAAATATTTTCATTACGCTGCAGTCAGTATCTTTATCTAGTGAACTTATGCTAGTTCTAGTGAACTTATGTTAGTCATCACCGCTTTCAAGCGCCGAAAAACCTCAACACCTGTTTTCACCTTAGCCAAATCCTTGAATTTCTGCATCAAAAGATGCTAAATTCTGTTCACGAGAGCGCTTAGCAGATCCCGAAAGCAGATTTGAGATCAGCTTTCATGCTCTATAAGACATTACCATTTCATATGGAAACTCCACTTTGACCAAGTACCTTTCCTCTACAAGCCCCTGTCGCCAGCACTTCTAACACTGACTATAGCATCGAGCCATGTATCTGCCCTCACCCCTTCACCTCCACCCCTCCCCTTCCACTAGCCCTCGCCTTGCCACTCTAGTACCGGGGAGTTTTTGTGGATCACAAAACATGAGCGCGGCATGCGCGGTTTGAGTCCTAACGAGTGGCCCGTGATAGTGGGTGTTCTGAAGAATCAGCTCAAAAGTCTACAAGGTAGACAGAAATGTGGAAAATCCAATCCTCATATGAAGGGAAGATCTATGAAAGTTCTATATATAGGAAGGCCAATTTTGGCCTTGTTATCCACCCACGTTGATGAGCTTAGCCGCTATACCTTCTTAAGCGATTTTTTCGTCTCGGAATTCATATTTCGCAGCGGGAACTGGGGGCGATTACTCATTCGGAAGCTCCGCTTTTACAAAGCTTTAAACCCAACCATCCACAATTTAGGTGGATGGTGCCTTCAAAATGCGGATATTTCACCCTTTCAAAGTTGTAAATATCCATTACTTTCCGTAGGTTTCGTTTTTCCTATACCGTTTGTGAGAAAAAGCAAGAAGTTTGGTTTCTGCTTGTTCCAGAAGCCAGGATCTATCGCACATACAAAGGACTTATCTTCATATGTGTGAGTAATAGCTTTTGAGCGAGGGTCGTAAACAGCATGTTCGTGAGGTTACTGAGGACGTTTGAGGGATGCATGTCATTCATTCCGAGACTAAAAGACTCAAGTACGCAAACGTGCTTGGCAGGGTCTGTCTAGCGACACTGCATACCACTACGCAGCTCGTCCCTAGGTATACTCTCCTATGAAAAAAGTAGAAAACAACCTTTAGATTTATTCCGATGTGAGCGACTTCTATACCAAGTTCCTTCCATGACTTCAAGGAGTTAGAAAGCATTTGCTTGAAGTTCGTTTTCACTTTTTTTGGGAGCGTACTTGTGTGTACCAGAATGTCGCGGTTGACTGTGGTTTTCGCAGGCAGCATTTCACGAATACCTGTGCAGCAGTAAAGTCATGTTGGAACGATCAACATGGTAAACCACAACTCAATCGCAACAAGCCTCGTTAATTTTCGCAAATGTGCAGGTCAACTTTGCAATTTTACGTAGCAAAGATAAGCTCTTCACACTTGATAACCTTACACAGAACTAAACCGCCTTAAAAGTAGTTCATTATTTGATCTTCTGAATGAAGTTGTTCTAGAAAAACGCTTTCTCAGCGGCACTTTTATGGTCAGCAAATAAATACAAAAATCTTTACGGAACGAGGCGAACAAGTGAACTCTTGGTGTACTCGAATTTAGGTAAAATTACACGGTTTCTACTCTTCTGATGTCTAACGGCGCAAAGTCAAGACTTGTATACTTGAGTGCTCATTTTTTAAATCGCAACATCGTAGCACAGCAGACCTGTGGTCACGATGCTGTAATTTACTATACTTGGGACCGATTCGATCACTCGAATAGATCATTCGAAATCGAATGATTCGAAAAGCCGAATTTTCGAAATTTTCAATTATCGATATACAGGTTGTTCCAAAAAATATTAGGTCGTTCCGAAAGTAATGTTGCTTTTTTCGAATGAACGCCATTATTCGTGGAATCAACATTTTAAAGAGATCTTAGGAGCACTCGATGCATCATTTCCTTCTCTTTCTAATGGTTTCAATTTTACTGCAAGACGTAAAATGAGCTCTCGAAAAATTACCAAAATCTGCGACTCATGCTTTCTACCATGGTCAAATTCGGCTATTTTTTTGAATTTTTGCGCCAAAACTCCGAAAAAGTACAAGTGGCAGATAGATAGAGCAAACACTATAGAACACAGAGTAATTATTTCTTTTCCTTAGCTTGCTTCTCAGAGTTTCTACACTCAATTTCGCAATGCCATCAAATTCCATATTTAGTCAAGTCAAACCTCACAGAACAGCAGTCGGGCAGGGTCAAGCTTGTGATGCGACTGTCGCAACGGGGGGTCGTAAAGAGGGTATCTGAGGTGGGGGGGGGGGGTCGTAAGAGAAGGTAGTTAGGCTAAAATACCCTAAGCTTAAAAGAGAATCAAAAAGCAGATAATTAGTTATGTTCTTTACAATAAATCTATAAAAAAGTGGAAATCAGAATAAAAAAGGTAAAAAATCTGTAGAAATTCTCAAAAAAAAAACATTTACAAGAGCTCAAAACACTTTTGAAGGATGTATGATTTGATAAAAATGCTAAATGTACCGATTGCCCTAGAAATCTTGCTTCTGAAGCCCTCCTGAAGTCTCACACACTCGACAAAAGCGAATATCTTCACCAGCTGTGACCATCATAAATTTCTAAATCTTTTTGTAATGTTTTTCACGGGCCCATATGATTTATCTGTACTTCGACGATGCTCCGCTACATCAGTGCAAAATTTGGTGTTATTTTGTCAACTGTGGATTTTCTTATAATTTTATGTATGGTAGCAAAAAATCAGGAAAGGGGGGTCGTATCTGGGTCGCATCTAAATTTCTTCGGAGCTATCGAAGCTTGTTGGCTGCAATTCTGCTAATATGAGGCCAACCTCCTACTTTCCCACGTAAAGATTGCAGGCTGTTTTATAACTTCTCTGGTAAGTTACAAAATTTTAAGCTCAAAAATCCCAGTTTTTGCTTTTTAGGATCGCATCTAAATTTGCGAGAGTCGCATCTAAATATTTTCGAACTTACTGCTCCTCAAGAGCTGAAACTTCTTCTGTGGATAGTATGGTCACAATACTACAGAAGCTGTGCTTTGCAGCCTCTCAGTCTTTTCCTGGCCTTAGTTACGAATTTTCAAACTACCGTGCTCATGCACGTTTCTGACGTCGTTCTGGACGGCGCTCAAGCGGTTTTTTTCGCGGGAAAAACTGTAAGGTAGGAAGTAGGCTTCTTAGTCGAAAATTCTGTGGTTCAAGATTGTCATTTTTTCACCGTGCAAAAATTTGTGTCGCCTACGGGAATCGATTTTGCTGGTCTGAAGTATGCCTGAAAATTCAAAAAAAGCTTGCAGATTCTCAAACATTATTGAAGGTGTGTATGTGTGCTACAGATGCTGGACGCACCCATTGGCCTAAAAATTCTGCTTCCGAAACCTCACTGAAGTTCTCACGCAGGTGTTTTTTGAGATTGACATTCGTTTATGCAGGTTACCGCGAGGAATGGGTTGAGCCAGACTTCGCCGGGGAGCGGCGTACGCGGCGTACGCAGCGTACGCTCGGTATATTTCATCATAAGAGCATACGCGGCGTACGCTGCGTACGTCGCGTACGCCGCGCAGTCTGGCCCAACCCAATGTGGGCGGGGAGGTAAGGGGGGTAAATGGGGGAGGGTGGGGGGAGGGGTAAGGAGGGGGGGGGTCGTACGGATGGGTACCTTCAAGGGGGGGGGGTCGTAAATGAGGGTCCCGGATCGCATCAACACGCTTGACCCTGGACTCGGGTGTCATTCAATGCAGCTTTTTCTCCTCTTTCTAGCGGTCGTTTTTTGCTTCCGAATCATTAAGTTTTCCGGGATAAAATCATCATAATTTAACTTTTCAAGGCACACCAAGGTGTACCCGAAATTTTTGAAAGTTGCTAAACCGAAGCGGTGAATGCTCTTTTGGTTTGTAAAATTGTTGCCAAACCATAATTCATCTTTGTAAGTTTCAAAATCCGGAGACTTGTTGGCGTTTGATGCACTTGTGTCTGAGACGAGCCTGCTAAAATTCGGTGGTTTCATCAAAAAATCTGTACAAAAATTATGACGAGCTCTGGAAAGTAGAAAAAAGTTGTGCTGTTTCCTGTAGGATTTGCTCCATCCATCCATTACTTGGACTCCTTCTGAGGTTTGTTATAAAATTTTAGCAAAATTGTGAAACTTGGCCATAAAAGCATAGGTCGCAGATTTTGACTCTTTTCTGGAAGCTCATTGACTGTATTGCAACAACTTCATAATCGTTAGAAAGAGAATGAGATGCTGCATCAAATGCTACCAGAAACTCCTACATATCTTTGTTCTACGAGATGTGGCGCACGTTTGAAAAAAAGCGACATTACTTTCGGAACGACCTAATATATCAAACGTTTGATCGTTAATATCACTCTTCTAGAAAAGTCTTTTCCCTTGCTTCAGGTACCAATCTGTAGAACTGGCTTCAACTTAGACTTGCATTATAGAACGAATCACTCATCCCTCTTCATTACTGTAGGATTATGGCAGAAACTTCAAAGAGGGATTTAAGCAATGAAAGGCCATATTTTGCCCCAGAAAGAAAACAGAACTGCCTGAAAACTTCTACAATAGGCTAATTAGAATTGCTAATTATAACTGTAAAGTTCCCAATTTATTATGATGCTTCATTGAAGAGTTATGCCAGGTAAGAGGTAGCGCCATTTTTTCAATGTTCCCAAAAAGTGCAGTTATACCCTTTAGAAAGCTTCGTAATCTTGTGAATAGTTGAGTATAGAACTCAGCATCCATAAAAACCCCAATACACAAGTTTTCACATTTTTTTGGAAAATTTTGAAACGGCAGCTTTCCCCACATTGACACCATATGTTTCAAGTTTCTACCGTAATCCTACAGTAATGAAAAGAGATGGGTGATTCGTTGTATAATGCAAATCTAAGTTGAAGCCAGCTCTACAAAACGGTACCTAAAGCAAGGCAAAAGACTTCTTGGGAAGAGAGATATTAACGATCAAACGTTCGATACATTTTATTGGGACACCCTGTATTCGATGTCCGAATATTCGAAAATCTCAACTTTCGAATGTTATTCGAAAGTCGAATATTCGAAAATTTCATTGAATATTACTCGAAAATCGAATATTCGATGTTCTCAATAGCAATATTCGAAGGTCATCGAATATTGAATCATCCTATGAGCATCGAATATTCGAATTTTCAATCATCAAATAATCGAAATCCACATAAGCACAGCACAGCATAGCACATGCCGTCCGTCTTTGGCGTCCTTATTCTGGATTTTTAATCGCAATGAGAGAGGAAGACCGATTTTTATCGCTTATATCACTTCAAGGAGGTGTTTGGTACTTCACAAGGATAAGAACCGCTGAGAACACATCGAAAGCAATTACCTGAAAGGTTGTCTCCTCCAAGGATCCAGGATGGGAACGCCAAGAGTGGACAGTGGATGCAACGACACACATGATCATAAGAAATGATCCGACTGTATACTATATGTGTATCGTTGGTTGCCGACAGCACGGACTGGCTGCAAAAAGCCCGCGCAGCACGGTTGAGATATCAGAGCAGGATCTGTGCATTAGCAGCTTGTATGTCACGAGCGTTTGGCCGAGCGGCGCGGTGCGTGCTTCGCAACTTGCGACCAGTCCTTGCGGCCATCAACGGGACAGCATAAATATATAATGGTTGTTGAGCTACGAATGCCTTCCAGAAATCTATTGAAGTTACAGCAGCTCAGAAGAAATGTATCGAAGACTCAGAGAGGCCCGCTGTCGAAGAAGAAAATTTTCATGTTTTTTGTTGTGGAACGCGTTGAGCCGTTGACGATTTATTAGAAAAACACAAAGATTCCCCTTATACACATAGGCGTATATGCCGTGGTTTCACTAGGATTAATGCAATAACAACACGTAAACATAATCAAGGTGCGGCAGGTACTCCGCAGCCGCCTAGGTCACCTCAGCCTTAGCTGTCAATAATGAGCGAGTTCTAGTTCACACTGAACAGCTCTACAACATTTTTGATGGTTGGAACCTCGCTCAGAGTTTTTGCACGCACATATTTGTCCAGAAATGATGAATACTTCATGTGTTGCGGAGTACCCTAATTTCACGCGTATAAGGCGCAAAATCGACCAGCCCACACAAGCCAAAGGACTTTACAACCAAAGGACCCCATAACATGCTGTATATTGTTGAGAGAATCGTGCGATGTAAGAATTTCTTTCCGGGATACAGTGAAGCGGCTGAGCGGCTCGCTGGAAAATTCGAAAAAGTGCGCCTTATACGCGTGAAATTAGGGT